CCCGCTGAAGATCCGAACCGAGCATCAGCTCAGTAGCTGAGTGGATACACTTTACACTTTTTGGGATAATATTACCTACTATAAAACTGAAAGTGTACACTTTTCAGGGCTTATGAACTCAAAAACGAAGTCAGGGTAGTGTTCAGCAGATCGAAGGGAGCCAATCACTCGTCTCGGGGAGCAAAGCGGTCCTGCGCCGCTCCAGGCTTGTATGTGGCGGTTAGACTAACCAAGGCACCACCCCTCAGGCTATCCCAGTGATCAAGCAAACTGAACATGCCGAAGCCACCACCGGGAAGCAATGGATGTTGATCAGCATCATCGGTGCCCACGGGAGGCCCGAGTTGCTGACAGTTGAGCTTCCACAAAGCTTGGAAAAGCAAGACGACGAGGTTCAGGCCGGCGAATTGTGACATGCACTGCCGAGTCGACTCACACCTTCCTCAGGTGCTGCTGGAGAGATGCAAGGAGGAAGGCGTAACGATATGTCCACACAGGGAATGTGACCATCTGGAGCTCGCTGCTGCGGCGGCGAAGTGCCGTGGCGTGAGAAAATGAGTCTCGAGAGTACCGTCTGCCCGGCGAAGTGCCGAAGATTCTTGATAGGGCCTTGCCTACTCAACCGCTCCCGTGGCTTTCTGCGTTGCAGGTGCAACACGCGTATCCTGGGTCAAGTAGACAGGCCGGCAAGAGGGTTGCAGAGGAGCTTCAGTCATGCCCGCACATGTTCACTTGCAGATTGGTGGTTTTTGCCACCCATCGGTCCGACAAATACCTCGGCTTGGTCCAGGAGGCAGCACTTCCAGTTTGATGTAAGTTCCTTCAATGTATTTGATGTATCTCGGCAATGCCAGGCGAAGGACAACAATGTGATGGTCGCGGCGTTCAACGTCGAAGTCTGACATCCTTCTCCTTCTCGGGCAGGGTGCCTATGACATCATCTCACATGCTCTGCTGCGCCGATGATGCTGCAGCTACTGGCCTCAGTTCACTCGAGGGCAGGAGCCTTGGGCAAATCGGCGGCGACAAGCAGCATTGAACAGCTGGAGATTCTTCAATGGATACTCACCGCACCAACATGCAGAGTTTTTGCTCTTCCAGCTGTCATGCTTTATTGACAAAGGCAGGCCTCCAGACTCCGAGCTGCAAAACCTTATCCCATGAAGAAGTTGCTTTGGCTTGTCCAAGTTAGTGATTGCAGGAATTCCATGCCAGTGCGCTGCAAGGCTACATTAGCTCTGGAGACCCCTGCCCTTTGGGCATGATTTTTCCACTTGGAATGCATAGGCGCTGCCAGATTTTTCAACGTTCCTGCTGGCTTCGCTGCATTGCACATGTAGTTGGTGTTCACGTAGAATTAGTAGATGGGCCCTTTCCACAGGAAAGGGTTTGTACAGACGGAGTTTGATTGAGAATCATGTTATTGGGGACTGGGCTGCTCTTTTTTCTGTGACAAGAGTTGGTTGCATTGATGTTACATGCTTTTTGCTTGAATGGAGACAAAAGCTCTCGTCCCAGCCCGCGCAGTGCTCCTCCATATTGGCCTGCTGGCGGCGCAACAAGCTCGCATCTTCGCCGTCGAGCGACTTGCTTGCATGCTGGTGCTGGTTTTTGTTGGGATCGTGTTGATCCGCTGGCAGTGTGTAGGCAAAGTGAAACAAGACGAGACTGTAGCTTGCTGTTGCAGCTGCGGCCGTTCAGCCAAGGCAACTCGATGGCAAGGGTACAGCGGCAAGAGCCTCCAAGACGACCATGTAATGGTTACATTGAAGACAGTTGCACATGTGGATTTTCCAAATTGTCAGAGAAGGTGTGACATACTCGCGAGCTGATACTGCAAAAACAAGTGATTTCCAGGGCAATCGCAGATGTTACAAGTTTTTGTCAGCGGGGTTATACATTCCAATCCTGCCATCTCTTACCCAAGTACTGCACAGTAAAAGAAATAAAACCCATTGACTTGCAAGATTTGTAGCAGAGCTTGTCACATTGACTGTTCGACAGGCAAGTCAGCTCTGGATAGCATGATGGGCTGCAGAACATCCCATGCATCTGTGAACAGGAAACTCCCGCTTACCTACGGAGCATGGAAATCGGTCTTCAACAGCACACCTCGCATTCAGTGTTCTATTTGCGGGCCGAGCTCATCTAGGCGGATTGCGACAGTGAACAGCAGAAGCCGAGTCCTGCATGTGCACATCGCGCCGCGTTGTGCGATGGCGCCCAGACGCGGCAAGAGAGGACCAACAGGTCATCATCACGAGTACAAGCTTCGAGGGACTTCAAGTTTTTGTGTGCCAAAGGCGATGGCCAACAGACGTTAAGTTTTTGGATGCGATCCAAGGAAGCTGAAGGCCAGATCTTTCTGCTAAAAAAGGGGCCTCCAAAATTTCTAGTTTGTGGTCAGGTGGATTGCGCGATCGATCGAGGTCCCCAGCGCAGACTGACAGTTCCGTGCTGCCGGAGGACGTTTCAGTTCCAGTGATCTCCAGTGCCTGTGTGGTCAGATTGATTTGTCAATGCAAGGACCAGCAGAGCGACATGAGCGACGTCGGAGTCTCCAGCACAGCCACAGCCCCGGCATCGCAGAGCTGGTTAAAACAGCTTGACAATTCGGAGTCCGAGCTCTTAGGTGAAGCCTTCCTTGCGGCAGCGGCTCGCTGCTCGAGGAGCAGAGATGCTCGCAACACCGCAGGCACCCGAACAGCTGGGGAGTCTAGAAAGTTGTTGCAAAGTCGGGCCATGTTGGCTCGGTGGGAAGAGCATGGGGCGTTCTGGGAAGAAGCATATGCTGATTGCAAGGGTAGCAGTAACCGACATCTTGCAAAGATTTCAGTCACTGCAGGCTCGCGAGTCCCTGAAGGGCAACGTGCCCAAGTTCTGTGGCCAGCAGAAATTGATTTTTCAGAGCCCTCCACCTGATTGTGGAGACAAGTCCTACGTGGCAACACCTTGCCGAAGCCCTTGCCGCTCAGATTTGCGCGCCAAGCTCGGTTTCCCAATGTCCCCTGCTTGTAGCAACACCTTATGCAATTGGTGAACCTGTTCCAAGGCAAGAGGCTTGACCTGTCACCGAAGGAGGAGGCCGCAGAGCCATGTATCACCGGGCGGCCGGAAAAGTAGCGTTCCTTCACTCGGTTTGGGCACGTCGCGTTGCAAAAGATATGGCGCTCCACTCCCTTCAGGACGCCCCGATGCAGCTTCCTGCAGATGGAGCTGGCGAGAAAGAGAGGCCGGCTGAAAGGTCAGAGTCACGTTCTATGTTTGTGCCGCTTTCTCGTTCAATCAGACCTGCAGATTTGCACTTCGTAAGGGCAACATCAGCGACAGCGAAGTCATCGACGACTGCTGCTTCTTCCGATGTTCGTGACGATCAAGCCGCGCAGGCACTGCCCCATGTTTACTCATTTTGCAGGGATGTGTTGACTGGCTTGCGATGAGGGCGAGTTGATGTAAGCACACGTGACAGGCAGACCTTCTGCAGATGCGAGAGCAGGAGGCATCAGAAGAGGTTGCCAGGATCCTGCAACTACAGGAAGGAAAACGGGCTTTCAGATCAGAACTAGCATGGGCCAAGGCAGTGCTAGGCCTGGATGCAGCGGCGGCTGAAGTCTCCCTCGTTCACCAGGCTTTTCGTTCGCTGATGCGCAAGCTCCACCCCGATCGCATCGGAGCCTGCGACGGAGCCACCGAGGCAATGGATGAGCTCCGTCAAGCCAAGCAGCTCTGTGAACACAAGATGAAATTTGCAGAGCTTCACCCACCTGCAGCGCCGATACGGCTGGCATCCGCGGTGCTTTGCGCTGCGCCTGGCCGCAGGCGCATCCGAATTAGTTGGCAGTCTCCAACAGCAGTGTCGTCGCCTATTCGCAAGTATTTAGTTGCGGCTTTGGATCCCTCGTTTGGCCAGCCGCTCACCATAACAGTGCTTGAGCCGGAGTACAACGATGAACTTAAGAGATATCTGTCGCTGGATGAACTTACTAGCTGTGTCCTCGCCGAAGAAGACTTGGTCAAGATGCCTGCCTTCTTCCAACAGTCCGCCGCTTGCGTGTATGTGGCAGCTGCCAATGAAGCTGGCCAGTCGAAGTGGGCAACCATCAGTGTGCCGCTGCGTGGTCCTGCTGCTCCGACGGTCGGTGAAGTTCTAACATCCCCTTCCAGGGCCAAGGCCGACAAGGCCGATTCTGCCAAGAGCACACCGGCCAAGGTGTCTGCTAAGCAATGTAAGGACTTCGAGACGACGGCACATTCACTTCTGAAGAGGCCCGATGGTGCAGCTGAACTTTGTGCCTGGCTTCGAAAGCAGAGTAGAGGATTGCTCGCCAGCTGGCTGCAATCCCAAGCGTGGCCCACGAAGGGTTCGAAGGCGGAGCTGGTTGATCGTGTTGCCTTTGCTGTTGGGGCAATCGGAAAAGCCAACTGAATTGAGAAACCAATCTCACATCCCAATGCTAGCATCAAGAGATGTACAGAAATGCGTTATTTCTTATCATTCCGTCCATCCGGTGTGATCTGCATCAACGGACTGGGCAGAACTGTGCGCCGGTGGGGAGCACTGCAGGCATGAGTGCTGTACGCGACCTGCTCAGACACTACTCTTCTGATGTGTTGCTACGCCACTCTTAGACAGAATATCGGGGTGAGAGGTCGCTTGTGTGCCTGCCAGTCCCAGATGCGCTCCAGCAATGAAGGCTAGAAGGGGTTTGGCTTCGTGCGGCAACACCGGCAGGAAAATGCTGCCAGAGATGAGTTTCCAAAGTGCTTCCAAGTTTTGGCATGTTCCGAGAGGAAGCATTCGCAGTGCCGTTGGCCTGAGGATCGCAGCGCTAGGCGCTAGGCCCATGACAAATGAAGTGCATAGCCTCTAGCACCCACCCTACATGACACAAAACCCACGAACCTGACAGATTCAGATATAGATTCAGCGAATTGCAGCTGGACATGTGCCTCCCCCACATTACTTGTGATCTTTGAGTAAGACAAGAGCGCGCTGCCAAATGGCAGATGAGCCGCTGTCCGACGACAAGCCTTCACTGGAGTTGGATCGAGATGACATCCAGCGATTGAAGGAAGTCATGCGTTGCTCAGCGCACAACCTGACTGCAATAAACTTTCACCGATGTCTTACAAAGCATGCCAGATCAGGTCCAGATCCTGATTGGATCTCGTTCTCATCCACAGAGGCGCGCTGGATCAATTTCAACCCCCAGATGCGCGTGCCTTGCTTTTCAAAAAGAAGAGACATTGCCTTGTCTCCAGTATTAGGCTCCCAGTATTAAGGTTCCCACTTGCACTGATGGCCGAGGCTGTTTTCGGGAGAAGCAGGAGCTGTCGGTGTGATGAAACTGCGGTAAATGCATGGATCGATGAGGCGATGAGCGTGCTCTTTCATTGGATATCAAAGCAGACGCATGGTTAGAGTCATTACGTTTTTGATTGCCAGACGAATTGTTGTTACTGCTGGTACTGGTAGAGTGCTTCCGAGTCAACATGCACCGAAATAAGATGTCTTCGTGGCTTCTGCGGAGGTATGGATACTCTATCTCGCGGCATATGCATCGCTTTGTTGATACGCTCATCCAAACACCAGAAGCAGCCACTCTCATCTGTTTGAGACCTCCTGGACTCAGGATCATCGCGACCGATGCAAGGGCTGCGCTCTTCCGCTCTCTCGGGCGCGGCTGGATTTGGATACAACTTTCCTCTTCCGGCGGCAGGCAGCATCTTGGGGATTGGCGAGGAAGGGCGGTTGTGGGTGAGTGGGGAGGGGGGGGCCAAACAGTATCCAGTAGATCTTTGATGAGCTACTTGGACGGTAAGGTCTAGGCGCACCCATTGTCGAAGGCCGTGCTCCTGAGCCTTTCGGGTGGCAAGTGTAGTTTTTCATAAAGGGAACTTCGGCCGCTAATGTTCTGTTGTTTGCTTCGTGGTTGAGTAGTTAAGTCTCCTTGCGTTCCACGCTGCGAACCATTCCAGTGCTATGTAGGGCCGTTGCCGTAGTTAGACGCACACCTACCGGGTGGTTTTAAGTTGCCGGGACCACGGGAAATGCTTTGGAATCGAGGCTCCCAAGATTTACGGGACTTTGTAAAGCACCCTGTGCTAAAAAACACGTGTAGGTATTTGCAGAGAATGTTTTGGAAGGTCCAGTGGCACGTAAGTTCTAGCAAGCGCAGTCTTTTCGGTGGACTCTTTCCAAGATAACAGGGACGGCAGGCCGCTGGGGTGTATGGCCACCCGCAATCGAAGTGGAAGGATCCGAAAGTTTGGCCCCTAGCAGCAATTCAACTCCCCATTTCAACAGACTTGGCTCCCACATCGTGCTCGTCCAATTTTCCTTGGAGGAAGGAGTTTTGGCGTAAAGATGTGCATGATTTGCCCGAGTTATTTACAACGTTGGTGTTTGCTACCGAGTGCGGGTTATTCTGTGTGCCATGCTTTGGCACGGCTATGAAGCGCGCTGCCCTTTTTCCGCGAGGTTTCAACCGACTCGTACCACAAGACCCGAACAGGCTTTATCTCGCTCCACTTCCTGAGTTCACTCGGTCTTTTTCAGCACCCCGTTTACTCGGAGCGTAGATCTGCTGCCAGGGAAGACAAGAGCAAGTTACCGGAGGAGCAAAGAACACGCTTCAAGTGGTGGTTTGAAAATCTGAGCCGCCGCTTGGAAAGCCTGAAGGAAGACTTTAAGGACACATGCCTTCGCCTTTACTGTGTCTTTGTGTGGCCACGGAAATCTTGACGAGGTGTTTTGCGGAACCGGCAGCACGACATCGACAAACTGAAGCTGAAGGGTGATATGCTCAAAAAGTACACCACCGGTTACATGCCCATGTCGGAACTAGTTTTTCTGATCTACGGCATTGCACCTGCCATGCCCATCATCGGCATTCAGAAGTGGTCACCGCACTACAAGGATTCTTGACAGCAGCAAAGCTGCGCAGTTTACTCATTCGCTGTCACGCCGGTTACGGTTAGGTTCCTGCGATTCACTGCGGCGGACGATCGCATACGTAGATCTTCAAAGCTACTTCAACACACTGCCTAATGGCGGCTCGCTCTGTCCACCTGTCTTCAGGAAGTCGACAGATGGGCTCGAGACGACCTCGTCAGGAAAGCAGTCGAGAAGCCAATCGCATCAGAGGCGGAAAGGCAGGAGTATGCCACTCGAAAGCGTCTAGTCCAGCCCGGTGGGTTGAGCGTTGACCGAAAACTTGACAACCAGTTAGGTATGCTAGGACTGCTAGGGACAGCTGGCAGCCACTTCATGAGCAACAGCCCAGGCGGCGCACGTTGAGCAGCAAAAGACCCGAAAGCAGCGACAGCTCGTTGGACGCACTGGCTGAGAATGAGGTGGTTTCTGGTACGAAGCTGTTGTGACATCTGAGGAGAGCGAAGCAGAAAATGAAGAAACAGCAGCTGCAAGACGAGGACCTGCTTCAAGATTCCAGCCCCAAGCTCCCTGGACCAGCTCGCATGGAGCAGTCCAACACCGACTCTTTCTCGCAGCAAGGCACACACCCGGTCGGATGCTCCCCATCTTCTCATCTCCTTGCGCAGTTAGTTCTACAACCGAACCGTTGATAGATGTTGGCAGTGCCGAATAGCAGGTGTACCGTGTTGGTGGTTGAGACCACGATGCGACAACTGGTCCGCGGTTGCTGTCTTTCATGTTAGAGAGTGGGGCCTGCGAAAGCTCCCTTGAGTGCAGTGTCTCATGGACTGAATGGGTGTGGGACATACACCTGATATATCTATGTTAAGCATAAATAGACACGCACACATGCATAGAATTGAATATAAGTAGTACTAGACATAGAATGTTAACAGTAGAAGTATCAGTGTAACAACAAATACAAATGCAGAAAGCTGAAATCATCTTAAAACGGAAGTTGAATAAACAAGTCTATTATATAGACAAATATACGTAGATACAGGTGATAGAAGTAGGTATGTATGTACACATACATATGCACACAAATATATATATATATATAGAGAGAGAGAGAGGGGTAGAATTTAATAGGTATACATGTATGTACAAGTTACAAGCGCTATTGAGAAACAAACTGTCATGGTTCACGTGGACCGGGAAACCCAAGCACAATTTGAGAATACACGACAAGCAAGGCCAACGGCGCCAGGTTGCGTTAAGCCCGAATCCTGAGATGGTGCGACCCTTTTGTTTATTGCAGCCTAGGAGTTCGAAAGCTTGCTGGCTTCGCTGAAGAGGGAGGCTGGCCTGGCACCCGATGACTTTTCACCCGACGACGGGTCACCCATCGACTTGTCGCCGGGTGCAGAGAATCTTTTGGAGGATGCCGGCTATGCCGCCATCTCCGCCCATGCCAAGGAGGCCAAGGCCGTCAAGGCCAAGAAGGCCGAAAAGGCTGGGGTCAAGGAGAAGCGCGAGGACGCCAAGGATGCAGATGACGACGAATTCCTGGACTGTCTGAGTGACGACGGCCAGTTTCGCCCACGTGATGTCGTCGCTGCTTGATGTTCGCTACAGAAAATGGCGAGCCAACTCCGTGTGTGATTCAGGGTCGCTTTTCGCTTGTGCGCAAAACGAACGCTTGAGCAACAAGAGGGGTCTGTGCAGCTGAGAAGCCGTCTTGGAACAAGGGACATGGGAGGGAAGCCAAGCATCCTTCCTGGCTGCTGTGCCGTCAAGACCTTGCCCCATATTCCAACCGCTCCACCAACTCGCTTGCAAAGGGCAAAGGGTTCCACCCTCCGTGTTTACGAGGTCCCCATGGCAGCAATGACCTCAGTCCTTCCTTCGGTCGGGGCCCGTGCCTCCACTGTGAGCCGCTGCATGTTGGAATGATTGAAGACCTTGGTGCTGCTGAGCTGAGGCATCCAATACGGCTCGCAGTCAGGAAGGCTTCTTCTTGCATGTATGTCCAGAGTATCCAGATGCATTTCGTGCCATCTTCGGGGCCGGTCAGCCGCTGCCATGGCAAGTGCCATCGCAGGCAAAACTGCGAAGCTGCAGGCTTGCCGCTTGCGAGCCTCAGCTGCATCAAGTGAACTTCTGATTGGGACAGAACACGACCGTGTGGACCCAGCTTTCAGTCTGCAAATAGGTCTGCCGCAATTCGAATGGTATCTTGGACCGATGTATCGGAGGTGCTTCCCCAAGACACACGCGGTACATGTTTATGACAGGCCTAAAGTCTCGTGGATTGAGAGGTATGCAGAGATCATGGCTGAACGCGAACGTGCCAACATGACGCAGTTCGTAAAGAAGAAGGCCGAGATCTCAAAGGTTGTGGGCAATGAAACGTGCTCCGCAGCAGGTGACACCGACGGTGCCGGACGAACCCGCTTGAGACTTAGTCAGCCTGCAAAGCAATTAGAGGTGGTTTCAGGCTAGTGGTTGCCTATGCCCGGGACGGAGAGAGAATGAGAGAGATATCTTTTTACGGACTTCCAGCTGTTGTGGCCCCTTAAAGCCTCTGAACAGGGGCGCGCCTCTTGTTGTGGGGGGTCTGACTCACCCCCTGGACCGCGCAGTGAAGTGAAGTGAAGAGAGATAGAGAGAGGCGACTATGCAACTTTTCGAAGCAGAACGCACGTTAAACTCGAGATGACAGGAATACCTCACGATCGCGGCAGCTTGGTATAACCATAACCGCTAGCTTGTTGCCTCTTTACGAAGAGCAGCAGTCTGGGAAGCTGTCTTTTGCTTTTCTTCGTGTCCGTGTCTTTTTGTTACTTGTTTGTACTTGTGTTTCTTTTGTGTCGCTCTTTCGATGACGATAAATAGGCATTCTTGACGTTTTTTCCGGTGCAGTAACCAGAGCCGCTACTTCTTCGCTCCTATCCGCAGCTGAAGCGCTCCATGCCGATGACATGTTGGACTGATGTGACGTTACATGTCAAAATGCGCCACTGTTTCTTCTTTTTTTTTTTATTGTTGCCTGCTTCAAACAGCATGCTGTTTTTGTTCCTACAAGACTATGGTCCGTCCGCCCCTTTCCGTGCACGGCTGCCGCTAATCCTGGCTTGTCCACGGGTTGCGCGGGTGGCTTGTGTTCCGGCTTGTGGCCGACTGACGGGGACCATAACAGGAAAGGTCTGTCTGTTGGCTCTGGTGGTCAGGGTTTCCTGATTCCATTGCCGTTTTAGTCCAGATACTTTCCTGAGCCTTTAGGCCTGCCGATCCGGTAGCGGTAGGCTAGGCCCCAGAGCCGAGATTGTGTGCCGACTACGAGGAAAAAATGTCATGGAGAGTGGTCTTTCTCATTTCTGACTTACATTTTATCCTGTGTACCTTTCATGGTCCTTTTTATGGTTGTCCAAGCCTTCGAGTGTGCAGTGCCTGCAACCCGCAACAGCCGGGGGTGCACCAGCGCGCTCTCGGGGGGTCCAGCGCCACCCGAGCCCTGGCGAAAAAAAGAAAGGAGAGAGAGAGAGCGACCGAGCGGAGTTGAAACAATCGACGGCCAGGCCTACATCAAACACATTACCTCCCGCACACCGGTCTATGCATTCAATGAAGCCGTCCACGACCGACCTCTTACCGACATGGGCAAGGCCGGAAAGCCAGAGGTCATCGTGTGCATGCTTGAGATGACGCCGTCTCCTTGCTGATTTTGCATGTACCTCGGCAGGCCTACGTCACAATGATGCCAGCCCGACGGAAGGAGCAGGCGCAGCTCAGGGGTGCGCCACATTGGAGAGGGCCCACCGGCCTACCCAGGATTGGGCATGCAGTCAAGCGGTTGCGAGCTGCCAGAGTAAACGAAGAACAAATGCTGGGGTGCCAGGCCAAAAATGCAACCGACCCGAAGTCGGCAACCCGCTAACAGGAGGGCTTCAGCGCCTTTTTGTGCTTGTTGTGTTTTCCTTCGGGTGCCGTGCCGAAAGGCAGTTGATTCACTCCACAGCCATTTGAGCAGGAAAAGCCTGAGAAGTCTTTCCCGTTCACTGAGGCACGTACGCAGGAATGCTGGCAACAACTTTGCACCTCTCGAGAAACTCTATGCAAAAAATCCCGTACGAAAGTGATCTAGATCGAGAAGCGTGCCACAACAAGGTAGCGCCATTCGTTAAATGACCGTCAGTACCGCAAACATGCCATTTCTCTGCAGCTTGGATGCTGCACGGCCGCAGCACGCCTGGCCAGCCTTTACAAGCAACGCTGCAGGGAAGGCCGCTTGCATGGAATGTGATGTGTCATTCGGCCGTGGAAGTCGTTTCCAAGTGAACCCGGCAATCATCGCGAAGAGGTACACGTACTCAACTCACGATGTCTTGGGCGAGGGCCGCGCGGCTCGGGTCTACAAGGGCATCGACCGCAGGCTTGGTTCCCCCGTGGCTGTCAAAATATATCGGGACACCGACAGGACGAAAGCGACTTGCTGTGCTTTCGACGGAGTTTAAGTCGCTGTGTGGCAGGGATGCATGCAGCACCTGCAGGATGTGCCAACACTGCTTTCACAACAGCATCGAGATGTCTTCCTGGCTGAAACGTCCGATGGGCCGTTTGCCTGCAGGCCTCACGCGAGAAGACTTGTTTGGAAGATTTGTGAAGTTGGGTTTTTTCGTCGTTCAGGGAGCGGCGGCCTGTGGACTGTGGACATCATGGGCCATTCCGTGGACAGCCGTGGCTACCCTGGGGTTGATTCGGATGGAGTGATGTTTACGGTCATGGAGCTCGGTACTGAGTCACTTGAAGCTTTGCTGCTCTATGCTGGCCTTTGGAATTGTTGACTATCACCTGTGACGGTACCGAGAGGTTCAAGTTGCAGCGAAGTCTCTAGAGTGTTGGAAGTTGGAACCCTGCGCTTGCCTGTGTTTTGCCATTAAGGAGGATGTGCTGGCGAACAGGTGGGAGTTTCCGAAAATAAGGGGTACCATATTTTGGGATCCTTATAATAAGGATCCTACTATCTATAGGGTACTATATTATAGGGGACCCTAATATAGCACCCTAAATAGTAGGATCCTTATTATAAAGGACCCCAAAACAGGGTACCCCTTATTTTCGGAACCCCCTGAGGTGCCGCGAGGAGAGGCACTTTGCCCTCTCAGAGCTCCGCGAGCTTCACTGGGCCCTGGTGTCCTTGGCTTGCCAGCTGCTCGGCTGCTGCACTTGGAGGATCATGGGACTTAGTAAGTAAGGGTTTAGGGTTTAGGGTTTAGGATTTAGGGTTTAGGGTTTTCGGGGTTTACGGAGTAAGGTTATAAGTACCCTAATTGGGGTTTTAATTATAGTTACCTTGTTTATAACCCTAGTTACTAAGTCCCATGATCCTCCAAGTAAGTGCTGCCGCTGCTATCGCCCACTGCCCAGAGTGGCCCTAGGTTGGAAGCACATGGCGTGGTTCATTTGGACATCAAGCCCTCGAATATCGTCAGATTTCTAAAGGGCACCTTGTCTGGGTACCATGCAGATTCATGCAGTTTCTGCAGCAAACAGAAAGAGCGGCTCTGCAAAGATAATGGGTCGTAGCTTGCTGTATGCTCTGCTTCAGGTGAAAGATGGCAGTGGAAGTTGGTGGACCTGGATGCTTTGCTGCACGAGCATCACGAACTCTCTGCCAGAGGCCTTGAGCCAACATGGTCGGCCAGAGAGCGCCGCGTGCAGTTGCCACAGTAGGGTATGGTAGCGGGGTAGGACGGGTGATGAATGGTGAAGCGTTTCCATTGTGATGGAGCAAACCCCACTTCATCGGCCCTGTGACCTCGCATAAAATAATTGGTCTTTCCGGAATGACCGTGTGACACTGCAGCATGCTTGTTTCAGGGACAGGGAAAGCATGCGATCCTACACAACATCACAAGAAAAATCTGAGGAAGCCCATGTCCGGATCTGGCTTTAGAGTTGTGGGTATCTGCATGCAGGGTTCCCGCGCACGTGTTTCCTGAAGGGTGGCAGCCGACTGTTAGCCACTGGTTGCTGGTTTGTCTCAGGACTGTGCAGTAAGGGCTGGTGCTTCTTGGCAAGCCGAGGCAAATTAATTTTGCATTCTCTAAGCTTGTGGTCGTTTCAGACTTTTTTGCTTGTCGATCTTTCGCCGTCTTGCGCAATCCAGATGTTTCGGTAACGTGTTCACTTTCAGGTGCAAGTGTTTTCTAAAGTTGCTAGTTTCGGAGGCTTCAGAGGGCTTGCTGGAGATGCCATGGCTCAGCGAGAGACATTCTGGCATCCTGTTCCTGTCGTCAAGGGCCTTCTTCCCTTCATTTGTGAAGGGCTTTGGTCTGCTCGAGGCAGGATAGACAGAGTTTCTGTGAGCCGGCTCAAGGTTGCTGTGCGATATGGGGACGTCACCTTCACACCACCTTACATGGCACCAGAACTGGCCAGAGCCTACCTGAAAGCGGGGCCTGGTAACGCCCAGCACTGCCCAGTGCCTTGGAGAGAGGAGAACTTGTGCAGCAGAAGTCAATACAAGATCCTGTTCCTGTTACGCAAGTTTCTCAGGTGGTTCTGGCCGCGTCGATGGACCTGTGGAGTGTCGGGATCTGTGTGCTGGAGACTGTGTTCCTATCGTCATTGCTGACCGACCGATACTTGCAACTGGAAAGAAGGAGCTACGCCCAAAGAAAGCCAAGCCTCACATGTGCAGCTTCGAGAGTGTTGGATGTGGTAGGACTGGCTGTGACAACGAATTCTTGAGATGGCTTGGTGAAGAACCCGGAGGGCTGATCTTGCCAACCATGTACGACGCGGCGCGCAGAAGAAGCCCAGCAGCCTGTCTGAGCTTTTGCCAGCCACTGCTTGCTGAAAAGCCCGCAGCCGAAAAAAAGGAGTTGGCCGATTTCCTGGTTGCCATCTTGAAGAAGGCCGGAAGAGCTTGAGAGATAATAATTAAACTGCTGAGCAATTGCAATATACTGCAATGATCGGCAGGACAGATCCAAGCGCCTTGGATCCGGGGCGGCCGCCGAATGTCTGAAGCACGCATGGTTTGAGCCGTGGCGAAAGAAGATGCAGGCTGGGTAGAATCCGGGTAGAAGCTTTGTGCATTTCTTGTCTCTGGGCGTCTTCGTCAGATGACCACTGCACCGGTTCGACGTGCACAAAGTGTTCAGCAGCTGCCATCCACAAGTACGCGCCCTGCTGACTTAGACAGCAGAGCGCCTCGTAAGGAATTTGATTGGTATTCTGCGCGTCTGTTTGTGACAGTGCTACTTGATCCAGTCAGCATCTTGTCCCTCAGTTTTAGCGAATTTGCTTTATGATCATGATGCCGTGAGAGCAGTTCTGTCCTTGGCGTGGGCAGCTTCGAGCAAGTTGAAGTCTCGAGAAGTCACCAGACCTGGGCCCTAGTGGTCCACATGATCGCAGTTCCTGGCTGGGTGAGTGTCAGCAGGGCCGGCCAGTGGGAAGACTCTTCTTGCTGATCGTTTGGGCGAGCTTTTGCAGACATCGGCATCCAAGGCGCGCCGCACCAGGTCCGACCTCGCCGACCAGCGATCACAACTCGTACTGCCTCCTGTGCATCGCAACCCAGCCTCGGCGTCATGCGTGATGATGTGATGCCGGATGATGCTCAAAAGGAGAGCCCCCGGAAGCTGCGGACTCGCAGTCAGACGACAATGTTCGATTCCGGGGCTACTAAGAATCATACGACTCCGAAGCTTGAGATCGGAATTGCGTGCTGATCGATTACGAAGGTGTGCACAAGCTATGACCCAGCGAAGCACAGCAACAGTGATACTACAGTGCCTTGTTGTGGTTGTAGCGTCCGATGGGATGTACCGCAGCTGGCACCAAAAGCAAGACGGCCGCCCATTTCTGCACATGTTACAGGGGTTTGGGATTGATTGGCAGCCTTTCTGCGAGATTGGTGCCTGTCGTTATCGCCAGAAGGTTGCTGCACGTCTTTGCTCACAGTTCCTTGCTTTGCAGCCCGTCGGCCTCGTTGATGCTCAGCTGATGATGAGTGTGTGACGACGCTGGAAGCAGTCACAATAAGAAGAGTGATCACAACCATGGTTTTGGGGCATCTTGGTGATTGTGGCGACGACGACGACGATTATGGTGATGGCGGCCATGGAGATGACAGTGGTTATGACGACGACACGGTGATGGTGGTGATGATTCATGACTTCGCTTCTTGCTTCAGGATCTGTCTTCCTAGGACTAGCAAGACAGACAGCCTGCTTCGAGAAGTTGTTAAGCTGTGCGCAGGAGAAGGGCGCGTGACGTTTCACACGGTCCTTTCATCGATCTACGACAGCTTCAATCTGAGGCTGTGATTTTTGAGTTTAGCTTACAGGCATCACACGTCTGTCTTTCTTTGTTCCATTTGGGCGCGATCATCGCCACTGCCACCCCTCGAACCCTTCTCCCAGCTTCCAGCATTTGCTGAGCAAATGTTGGCGTGCGAAGCTTGAGCGTGGTAGCGCAGCGTAACACGCAGTGTTTTTGCGGCTTGCAGGGCGTCGCACCGATGGTTGCCAGAGCTCCGACCTGCTGTCGCCCATCTGCCTCCTCCGCCGTCGCCGTCGGCTCGCAAGGGTGCAGAGCGCCAGGTATCTGAAGGCAGTTGCCGGGAGCCGTGCCCCAGATGGAGCCGTTCAGCCGGCAGCTGGATGCGCTGTTCGAAAACGTGAGAGACGACATCCTGAAGCAGCATGAGCAGCACATGACTGTCCAAAGACTTCGCATGCGGTCCTTGATGGGCTGCTTGAATCGAATAAGGCAGGTTCAGCAGTCGTAAACCCATGCCATACCTAAAGTGCCTCCTTTTGCTTAAGGAAAGTCGACGGAGTTCTTTCGAATAGACCGGCCACCTGACGTCGCGTCCACCACCCTCCGGACGCCGAGCATGAGAAGGATGCAGACTTGGGGCTCCGAGCGGTCCTCGACCTCCACTCGATCTCGATCGAAAGAGAAAGAGAAGCTGCAACGAAGCGCTCCGCGGCCTCCTTCAGAGAAAAAGCTGAAGGCCTGTGCTTTTCGAACCGCTCTGTGGTCCTCCGTGGCTTTTAGTTCCCCTGAGCTTTCGGAGGTCACGTCGGGCCATCCACTGCCTGGAGGCATAGCGGCGGAGGCAGATGAAGTGGATGCTTGGCTTGTGTCTTGGGGACCTCGTGAGGGCACACAACCGAACGAGCTGTTGACCTTGCAGTTGCACTCCCGAGAAATTGAGGAGAGTGTTGGTGGCATGGAGCTTGTGCCGCAGGGCCTTCCAGCTCCAATGATCGCAGTCGCTTGGCAGCAGCCGAATCTGGCATTTGACTTGTCAGTCCATTCGGGACCAGTCACAGATGTTGCTATGCTGCCGTGCTTCAGGCCCATCAGGAAGGCCCCTTGGAAGCAGAGACCTGTCAACCAGAGCACCAAGCTGCTGGTATAGGCCCAGGAGATTCCTGGAGAACATGCGTAGGCCCCGCTTTGCTCGAGGCAACTTTGCAACCAAAGACGCCTTTTCCAATGCGTTCGCCAAGCCCGGTGATCCTGTATCCGGCGCCGAGGATAACGTCAAAACTAGCCGCCCATGCAGAGACCGCAGCACCAGAGACTGTGCACCGAGCCAGGAAACAGTCGACTGCCCTGAGCCTTCAAGCGATGAGTTTGGCAGAGACTTGGTTGGACTTCGATCGAGAGGAAGGTGTAACCACTAGAGTAGAACGTGGAGCAGTTGATTCGACACGCCTCTCACAGCGCTGAGCATCTTCTCCCTCCGTCACTCTCTTTCTACCATGTCGCAACTCTCCGGGTGTAGGTCGGAGTGGGAAGCTTTGCATTAGCTGAGGTCCTACATCCGTCTCAGGATATGTGGTTGAGTCTGCATCGATTCCCACTATTCCAGGCATGTCAGATGCAGACGACACTGATAAGATGGCAAATGGCAAAAAGCCTTCCAAGCTTTCCTTCAAGGATCACGAGGACAGAACTGTCGAGCAGCCCTCACATCGGGATCAAGTTCAGTGCTTGTATCCCTGACCCTGAGTGCAGGACCGTCGCAGCTCGAATGCGAGCAAGCGCAGCAAAATCAGCTTCGACAGCAATGGCTCCTTGCCATCCTTCTTCAAGGCACAGACGGCAGGAACCTCGCAATGGAAGATCTTCCTGCAAGACAGCGAGTCGAGCGCCTCAGCTGGGATCTTCGCCCGGGTATGGAACTTCTTCATCCTGACGACAGTCTTCCTATCACTGACGCAGGCGCACGATGCAAAGAAAAAAACTTCATGCGTCCTGATGCGATCACGCGACGATACCTGTCACTTGCCGCAGGCATTGAACCCTCCTCCCATTTCGGGCGAGCGTCTCGGCTACGTCGAGGTTGTCATCGAAGCGCTTTTCTGCACGGAGCTTGTCGCCAATGCGGTATTGGAGCCTCGCAAAATCGTTCGAAGCTCAGTTCCCGCAGGGCCATGGTCCTGAGCGCGAGATTACACAGCACCTTCGAGACTCAAGCTTGACACGATCAACATAATTCAACCCAATTCTGTGAAATCTCTTCATACACATATGTTCTCGGGGTTCACCTTTCCTTGGTTTCTAAAAGCTGAGGTTCTGTTGCGAGACCCTCACACCTACATTGACATCGCAGCAGTGCTGCCGATGATTTTGCGCATCGAAGCGAGCTTCGTTGTGCCTCTGATGTCGGAGAGGCCGTTCAGCCACTATGTTCTCGTTTCTTGGCCTGAGGCTTTTGACATGTCGGCGGAAGAGAAAGCTACCGATCTGTCAGCTGAGGTGGGTGTTGTTCCAACGGTCCGTTTGCTAAAGCTGGTGCGACGATTTGGCAAACTCAGCTTGGTCTCCCACGTGCTAAGCACCACGGGAGATGCGTTGAAGTTGCTGCTTTTCCTCATCTCGGCACCTCGGTTTTTGAAGTGTCCGGACGCCTGAACCAAAGAACACGAGAGTTCTTGCGGGCCTTTTTCTTGACTGAGGTAATTGTACTCAGCTTTTCTACGCTCATGTATATCGTCGAGCCTTCTGACATCATCGACTCCTTGAGCACGGCCATGTGGGTCTGCACCGTGACAGTGACAACGGTAGGGTACGGGGACGTCACGCCTACTACCACTGCCGGGCGGGTGCTCGCGGGAGTCCTTTGTTTCCTGTCCGTGCTTTTCATGGCCATGCCCATTTCTGTCTTGGGCAATGCAGCTCGGCATCGTGTGGGGTTGGTGGGCTTTCTTAGTATGCAAGTGTCAGAGCTGAGCGATCTCAGCGTGCCTAGATGTCTGGAAAATTCTGACGAAGACCCTCGTGCGATGCTTATTCCTGCGCAGGCTATGACCCATGCATGGGCAGATCGCAGCCGCATCCTGTTGATGACCCGAACACGCCAAAGACTTAAGAGCTACGGATATGAAGCCAGCGACTGGCTTGCAATTGCAAGAAGACTGTGTGCTAGTTTGTGAATGCCTTTAGCTTGGAACCCTCGCCGAATCAAAGGTTTAGCCAAGAAGGTCTATTGAGGTGCCTGAACACATGGACTTGGGGACAGGGGTGTTGCTTGAATTGCAAGGCGACATGCCGTCGCTTTTCCGCAAGTTTGACAGCAATGGCAATGGGGAGCTTACCATGGATGAATTCTGCGTGTCTTGTTTGCACTCCTTCTCAAGCAGAGGGCTTGCGCAGGGCTCGTGAAACAATACACTTTTCCAGGTTAAGTCCATGAAACGAGAAAACTGCAATGCAGAGAACGCCTCAAGATCTGAGGATATGGTCTCAAAGATGAATGTCGGTATTCGGCCGTCGGAAGCTGAAGAGCTTTTCGAACTCTTCGACACTGATGCGAGCGGAGGCATTGACGACAGGGAGTTCATGAAAGCTTTATTCCCTGATGACTACCGGAAGCTCTATATCAGAACCACGACGATGGCATCTTTCTGACGAGTGGCCGCTGGCCGCACAAACAGTTCGTGATGCCAATTAGTTTCGAATTCCCCGGCTGTGCTTGGCAAAGCCACTGACTGCCGACCTTAATGTGTTTCACGACCGTTTATTAGCTCCGTCGCGCTCACCAGTTGGGCAGCGAGCGGAGTAGTCCCCATTCATATTCGTTGTCGAAGAATTCGCCGAACCTGCTTCATCACTCAGCAATCTGCTTTTTGCCTCTTCTGCCGGCCATGCTAGTTCCAAAGTTGTTCAACCCCTTTGCGGTAATCCGAATCATGCAGCAGAGCAGACGAAACGCGAGTATGTTCGACACATCTGCGCTGACTGAGTGCCTGAGCACTACGAACAAAAATCTGCAATGCACTAAGCTTGGAAGGAGCTCCTCTCTCTCTAGTGACTCTAGTGGGTTTCTGGGTTGCCAAGAATGTTGTCCTGGGTTGGAGCAAGATCTGTGGGTGCATCATCTGTAGTAGATGATGAGCCCAATAGCATGCCCAGGGCTTCGTCAACAATGTGCAACTCGTTGCGAGATTGTTTTGTGGCAGTTAGCAGTAGCTCGGTGACCTGTGAGTAGTAAACCGTGCAACGAGAATGCCGCGATGCCACATGATTGATCGAGGCAAGCGCCTGCACTAAATGTATTCTTTCTGGGCTCAGAGAGCGCAGCCTTC